CCGCAAAATAAATTAGATACGACCGCTATGGTGGGTATTTTCGGCTCCGTGAAGCTTCCTATCATATCAGCTCAAAACATCCACTTTGTAGTACCTCTGATTAAAGTTCCGCCGAAGGAAAATCCTTCATGCAACCTTCCAGTGAGTAACTTCAGTTTCGTTGGACCTTATATAAGAATGCTCTATGCTTTCAGTTCAAGCTTTCTTCAGCCGCTACCGTCAAAAAATATTTCAAACAACCCTTATGGTATACACACTCCCTTTTTGTGAGACTTATTACTCAAGTTCACTCTGGTTGTCAGTGTGGAGTCCCTTCTGCCGCTACTGTTAGTTCCGCCACCACGTAAAATACTCTAAATCGCTTTCATGGTGGGTTGACTCAGTTTGCAGGACTTCCTATAAGGCCTACACTTCAAATCTCAGTTCAGTCTCTCCCGTCGCTACTATTGTTCCCCCAGTTCGAAATTCTCCGTATCACCTGGTACCGCCAACTCAGAAAATATTTCTACCATACATATGGTGAGCGCATTCGCTCTTTGTGAGGCTTATTACTTAAACTCACCTTAATTTTTCGGTTTGAATTTCCTTCTGCCGCTACTGTTAGTTCCGCCATTCCGAATAGTACTCTATACCGCTTTCATGGTGGGTTGAACCAGTTTGCGGGACTTCCTATACAGGTCTACTCTGAAATTTAATTCAGTTTATTCAGCCGCTACTATTAGTTGTTCAGCCAATTCGAAATCCTCCGTATCACCTTCATGGTGAGTAACTTCAGCTTCGTAGAACTTACTATATGAAGCTCCAGTTCGGCCTTCCCGAAAAATCTTGCGTGCCATATCCACAATAGTGACTCCAATCTTGTAGGGATGACTGTATATGTCTACTTTGAATTTAGTTAAACGTGTCTTCTGTCGCTACAGTTCTTCCGACTCGCAAAATGCTCCATGACACATTTACAGTAACTTGTTTCAACATGGTAGGGACCTGACCACATAGTCTACTCTATTTTTTCAGTCCGAAGTACCTTCTGCCGCTACTGTCCCTGCTTTGTGAAGCTTTCCATTAGAGCCTACTCAAAAAAATTCATTTGAAGTACCTTTGGTGCTACGAAATACGCCGTTCGAAAAACCAACACATTATGTATACCCTTTTGTACAATCGTTCTCTGAAGGTCATACACAACACGAGAGAGTGATGTTTGAAAAACCTGTTCCAAATCAAGAGAAAATTACGCTTAGGAGCGGTCTAATTGCTTTAATGAGAAGTCGATCATTCAGTGTGAACTGCATTCCCACTGCTCTGAATTTATTACCGAAGGAACCACTTCGAATGCTGCGTTTGATGACTTCGAATGGAGAAAGCTACACTATTCTACCAGTAGAGTGAATGATATGTGCATGACAGGAATCAATATTGTTCGACGATTTAATCCTCTACAAACTCCATGTACCTATCTGTAGAGAGCGTTATTGTTTAGCTAGGTCAAAAGGTTTTGAAAATAAAGATTCATGTACAACCTTTGCACTTACATGCTTATAATGAATTTCGCCTGAAAGTTCATTAAAGGAGGTAATGGGCCATGGAGATCATCGAATGCTATGTTATCAAATACCTGCTTCGAAGCGAAGTGAGTATGGATGAATGATGCATGTGGAAATGAATTCTCATTACATCTTCAGCGTACTACAGGTATTTCAACAAAGGTGACAGGATAAACAAGGAAACTGAAAAGAACTCGAGACCCTTTTGATTCTCAGGATTGTCTAGGTTTGTACATGGAGATAATAACGAACGTTCACGGTAGGCAAGTGCAATCTACCAGGAATAAGCGCTCTCAGTAGACGGCTTATGACATTATTAGTTGTGGTGGGAGACAGCTCCCTCCCATTCTTTGGGAGAGAACGGTTACTGTGTTGCCAAGACGACCACGCTTCAGGTAATCTTTGAGGAAACTCTTTTATGAGAAGCCGTCAGACGCGCACGGTATCGTGCGCAGCTCAATAGCTTCTTTAAACACAGATAAGTTGAGCCGAACTAAAGTCATGATGGGCGAGAAGCTTACGAAGTGTAGGTGTGTGTGTGTTCAGCCAAGATTTTTACCCCCTGTTTAACTGTTCCACAGCATCCAAATTTGCAGGAAATGTAGGCGATGGACTATTATTACACGGAAAGGGCGATCCGACTGGTAGCTTGATAAACTAAGTGTACGGATAGTCACAGTCAAATCAGTAGCGAAAAAAGAGAAAGTTAAAATAAACAGAACAGAGGAAGAGCTACACAGGAACCGATCGGCACTCGCAGCCAAATCCGCGCCGATTCAACGCCGACCGATGCAACCTTCCCTCTTATTTTTCTCTTCTCTACGCTATTCTACTGTGATTTCAAACTGATGATTGTTTTATACTACAAGATTCTCTGCTGGACACTATTATGCTACCGTCTACTGGATACCCCGCGCTAACCGAGGCTTAAGCACTGTTGGCATTTCATTTGACTCGCAGCTTAATCCGCACCCCGGTCAACTTTTTGCGACAACCGTCTAAAGTAAAATCAAGCAATTCGTTGCGGGACCAATAGCAGCTGTTTCTCATCGCCGATCAATGCAACCTTCCCTCTTTTTGTTCCCTACACTATTCTGCTACCATTCTGATCTGATGCTTGTTCTATTCTGCAAGATTCTGTGCTGAACGCCACTCTACTGCCATTCGGTGCTAAGTGGGTTGGGGAGATCACCGGCGCGGCAGGCGGCGCGGCACCCTGCGCCCTCTCCAGCGAGATAGTAGGCAAGGAAGGGTAGGCGAGCCCGTAATGGTGTTTAGGGATGTTTCATAGCTTTTTCATGTTATGACTGCGTATTTTTCACCTAATTTTAGGAAAGGGAGGGGCTCCGGGGTGGGTGAGCCAATTAGACGTTCAACTTTTATCTCATCTCACCCACCCCGGAGCCCTCCCCTTCTCAAAAAAAAAAAGGGCTTTAACGGCCCAGAAGAAGTGTATCCATAATATGCAAGCATATTGTTTGACTGAATCACGAAACACATCAGTACAACCTTACCATTCCTTCCCAGACTCAGGCCCACTACTGTCTCGCTGGAGAGCGCAGGGAGCCGCGCCGCGTGGTCCTCCCCCCAACCCACTTAGAACGAACGCAATTAAATCTCGCCACCGGCTGCCGTTTGAATTTCTTTCCCGCGCGCGAATATTTGAATGGGCTTTCGTGAATTGTCACATCATATCTATTCGAAGCGAATGCAGAGATGTATATGTGTTGTTTATGTGACCTTCTCCGCTACATTCCGAGTAAGGAGGAGTAGGGTCGGTGGGAGTCTACTTCTTTGTTACGAACTCTAATGGAAAGGGCATACAATAAAGGTAAGGAGGGGACTTTTCACTGTATTAAGCGCCAACTGTCAGTAGGGGTTATTCTTCGCTTTCCAATGTCTGCCTATCTTCGGAATGTCCTTCCTAACTCCAACTTGGAGTTTTTTTTGCATTGAAGTAATTTGCTTAGCTTTCACTCTGGGATATACCTCAGTTCTTCTACCATCGTAAGTAGTGGCAGTACCAAGTGTCACATATCGACCGACCGCAAACGAGCCATTTTTGATCGTTTTGCATAAAAATATCCATGCGAATTTCAATGACTAAGTATGGGTTGCAGTGAGGTCACTGGTTCCTCAAGTGGTCGTCTTTCCACGGAGATGTAAATAGTGCTCAGTAATTGATTATCCTGAGTATTCTGGAACTTCGGTTCAAGAAGAATCCCTGTTTTGTTGCAGCCTTTGCGACTAATTAAACAGAAAAAACAGAAATGGATACAAAATAAATCCATTATCATAAAATAAATAAATAAAAACGGGATCTCGGATCAATCAATACGATGAACACAGAAATACCACACGGCATGTTACATCTGGTTGTGTTCTAATAATGCTTTTGTGAAAAATTCACGTAACACAAACACATGCTTCAGTTCTGGGAAGCGATGCCTACCCTGACTTACAGCATTGTAGGAAATCTAATTTCAGATCAATATGCCCCACTACAATCACTTCACTACCGTAGTCGATCAAATGATCGTATAGGGCTTGTCGAGGAAAACGACGTTTTTGTTCCTTATATCAGTTTGATACTCCACAAGCCATTCTACCGAGTGTGGTTTACGCGAAGCTGGCTTCAAGACTACCACGTGGTTTCAAATTCAAACACCCGCGCGCGGGAAAGTAGCTCAAACGGCAGCCGGTGGCGAGATTCAATCGCGTTCCTTGGCACCGGATATTAGGGTACGTTTGTTTTGAGATTTAGTCCACATTTATTGCTTCTTTGTTTCTAACTTTTGTTTTTATAATTGTTCTTGCTCCTTTTGAGATTCATTCTGAGTATTGCTTTCATATGACTGTCTTTTGGTTTTTTCGCTTGATTTCCCTCCTAGTCACGCATTTATGCGGCAGCGTAGGACTGAATTGTGGGAGGACTTATATGATTCTACCCCTTTTCATTTTTATGCTGCTTTGGAGGAGGAGGCGCAACTTTCCCGCCAATGTCCACCATTCTGCCCCTCAACCAAGCAATGAGTAGTTTTCGCTGCATCTTCGTCATTTACATTTAATTGCTTTCACGAACTCTTCTCTTAAACAGTTTTATCAAGTAACTACTCACAATTACAACAGCATTATTAATTCTACGAAATGGAATAGTTCGGCGATAGAATTTCCTTTCTCATGGCACCTGCTGCATATGCTTCGAGTTCGCAATCTACCTCATTAATTATTCAATCCTAGAAGAATTGAGTGTGCTAGTGTTCCTTAATTCGGGGTTTTGCGTAGGCTTATGAGCTGATCGAGGGTATTTCGTTAGGGCATTTCGTAAGGTCAAGCGTCTCGCTGAGGCGCGAAGACCAATGTATAGCGGGGCAAGTCAGGTCACGCAGCTGCTAGGGAGCGTGACCTACCTTTGGCCATTCCAGCTGATTTCTGGCGACTTATTCGACTGTTTCCGAAATGCCTGAGGAAGAAACAACACTCTACGGCGGAGGTTCTTCTACTGCACAACCGAAGGTTCACCAACTGACAGAAGAAGCTCAACAAAATCTTATCCAAGCTCAAATGGGAACTTCATCTTCATCTGCCCTGCCAAGTGGCCATATGTTCAGCAGGATAGGTTGGGAAAGGCAGTTCAAATTCAATCAGCAGATTATTGAAATTATTCGGCCGATTACCGATCTCGCTCCAGGAAGCAATACTAGAGATAATTTGACGAAAGCTGTGGGGCTATTAAAGCTAGAAACGAGCTCCTCATTGTGGCGAACGGAGATGTGTCCGTCTTTGCCTTTTAAGATCAGCACAAAAAGGCGGAAGTTACCAAAGAACCAATCCTAGCCGAATTTTTGAAGAAGAAAGAAAAGGAAGAAACGAAGAAGAAACGGGCGGCATGGAAAACTAGCCGGTTCGACCCTTACTAAAGGAGCAAAACTCCCTTTCGATTCCCGAGGGAGGCACGGGCTACAGCTCCTCACCGATTCATGCCCGAACGTGCCCACTACTTCCCAGGAATGGACGGTCAAGGTACCTCCGACAGCTCCAGAAAGGAAAGGCGTCCTATGGGCAGAGGTGCATCGCAAAAGGACATGTGCTATGGATGTTGGCGGTTTGGACACTTCGTGGAAGAATGCAAATTCCCCAGAAGATCCAAATAATTCCGTAGCAAGTGACATACACACTAAAATAGAGTTGTGATCATCTTTGAATGTTTCTTCGTTGTTAAGGAGAACTTTGATGGAGGACTACCTCCCTAATTCCGAATCACGAGTTGAACCTGATCTTGAATTTTCAGAATCGAACAGGAATTCTGCCATGATTCATAAAGACTCCGTTTCAGAGCAAAGTCAGCCTCTTATTCAGTCAAAAGCTATCTCTTTATGTGACGAAACTCAACTTATTCGAATCAACCCGTTATCCGTGTCCGATGGAGGTAAGAAACTACGCCTCATATTAGACTTGTCAGATTTGAAGGGACAACATGAAGGTCTGTCTTAGTATTCTTTAAAAAGGCCAGCCTACGTCTGATCTCTTGCTTTTTCCCCGAGATTAAGGGCCATCTGAAGCCAAACCTATGCCCGTTGGATATTTTCGAGGCAACTTCTCCAACTAATGCACGATTCTTTTTCGACACTTCTAGTGGAATAGCCAAATGCATGGAAACTAGAGTCACTAAAGGCCTTAATCTGTCTCTCAACGAAGGACCTCCACCTTTCAGGAGCGCATTTATGATCAATCTTGCTTTGACCTTTTTCTTCTGTATATCCAGCGACATTGCTCTAAGATCAGTAACATGACCTAACCACGTCATTCTCTGACAAGGCTTCTCTGCAATGTCGCTGGACATTACGGAAGAAAAAGGTCAAAGCAAGATTGATCATAAATGCGCTCCTGAAAGGTGGAGGTCCTTCGTTGAGAGAGAGACTGAGACCTTTAGTGACTCTAGTTTGCATGCATTTGGTTATTCCACTAGAAGTGTCGAAAAAGAATCGTGTATTGGTTGGAGAAGTTGCCTCGAAAATATCCAACGGGCATAGGCTTGGCTTCGGATGGCCCTTAATCTCGGGGAAAAAGCAAGAGATCAGACGTAGACTGGCCTTTTTAAAGAATAATCAGTCAGACCTTCATGTTGTCCCTCAAGATTTCCGGGATTATTTCGTAATATCAACGTACGCGTCAAATTCAGGAGTGGGAGCGGTTTTTCATTCCCTCTCAAACGAAAACCTGATTGCGGCATCCGCGCTGCCGGATTATCGAAGAGAAGCATCCAGTACTGCACGAGAACTTTTTGGCATTTTGCAAGCAATTAAAGCATTCGTGCATTTGATTAGTTACGAAAAAGTACAGATCCAGACGGATAGCCAAGCGGCTCAGACGGTGTTCTATAAAGGCAGTTTTAAGGATCCTTTACAACAACTTGCTTCATAAATATGGAAGTTAGTAGAAAGACTCAAGATGGACCTGGAGGTATTTTGGATACCTAGAGAACTCAATGACGAAGCGGATAGTGCATCACGAACAGTGCACTTGGACGGATGGTCCATCAATGATTTTATCTTTGACAAGTTGAACGAGAAATGGGGGCCATTTGAAGCCGATATATTCGCAAACTCAGATAACAAAAATTGCCGAACGTTTGTTTCCAGGTGGTACTGCGAGGGCTGCTCAGCCGTCGACGCCTTCAGTGAACTCGCATCGCAATTCTGGACCGGGCATTATTGCTGGTGGGTTCCTCCGCCACATTTGATAGGTCACACCATCCTGACAGCCAGAGAATCGTAAGCCGAGGGGTAATAGGTTTTCCTCTTTGGCCTTCGCATATCGTGTTTCTTTCCCTTTACACGAAATCGGGTTAGATCCCGGAGATCTTAGATACATTCATTGTTCCAAAAGGGAGCGCGCTCATAGGAGACCGTTCATCATCTTATGCATTCAGCTCTCCTTCCGTCAATTTCGATTTTGTTTTCGCAACAATTGATTTCTCTAATGACGCTGAACCCTCGCGCTTTGAAATTCCGAAGAGTTAGCGGAAGCAAAATGGAGTTTTTGCCGTAGTTTCGGAGGCGAAATCGAGGTCTTGCGCAGGCTTACAAGTTGATGGAGGGTATTTCGTCAGGGTATTTCGTAGAGTCAAACACCTCGATTAGGCGCGAAGACTACGGGATAGTGGGGGTCAGGTCACGCAGCTCCTAGGGAGCGTGACCTAGCTATGGCCATTCCGGCTAATTTCTGCTTAGAGTGCCTACCCTCCCCCCTTTAACCATGATTTAGTGACCCCTTTTGCAGGCCCGAAGTGCACGGCGTGGCCAGAAACAATCGCGACTGCTCGCAGTGATGGAAAAGAAGAATTAGCTCAGATACTGGGCACACCAGCCACGGATTCCCTCGCTCAGGGCACGACGTCGGCGTACTCGGCTATGAGCCTTCGGGTCCCGTCTTTCTATCCCCAGGGCACATTTAGGGAAGTTAAGAAGTCTGGTCATCGCTCACTCGGTCCATAAAGACCATCTTAAGGCCATACCTATGGCGATAGCGGCCGTAAATTTCTTTGGGCGGCTGGAGGGAGGTGAAGCCGAGCTTCAGAAGCTTTTAGTGGACTCCGCTAAGAGAGAAACCTCCCCTGTAGTGAATAGAAGGAAGGCTTCAAAAGAGGACGTCGATACTGTTGTTAATTGGGCTTTGTTAGACGGAACACGAGAAAAGATTCAAGACGCGTGCGCCATCCTTCTACCTTTCCTAGCTTTCCTAGGAATTAGCGAAACGGCAAATGTGCAGAAAAAGCACGTGCAGGATAAAGGTCAAGGAATTTGGTGGCTATTTATACAAAAATATAAAACGGACCAGCTGAAAAGGAACAACGACGGCGTTCAAAGTCGCGGGTACTCACAAAACACTATGGGACCAATTCATGGACCAGTCATTAAATAAAACTGGCGATCACTACCTCTTTGGATCCACTTCAGGTAGTTGCCATGCGAAGGATGCACTGAGGAAACGGATTAACTCCACTCTTCAGTCTGCGGGCCTACACCACAAGGGTTTAACTCCTCATTCGTTTCGAGGAGGAACGGCAACCGCGGCATTGAGAAGGGGCGTCAACCAAGAAGATATCAAAAGTGTAGGACGTTGGAAGTCCACTTCATCAATGCTTCACTACTTAGAACCGACTCCAATTCGAGGTGAAACTTCTTGGAGTTTTTCATTTTGCACGTTTAATCTGTTTATTTAGATTGCGACAGACTTCGCCAGCCCCAGTCCGGAACCTCAACTCTTATTCGCATATATCGGAACATGGCCGCCTTCAGGAAACAATAGCGGTGAAAGATTCTCATACTATTATCTGACCTCTCTTCTATATTGACATTGCCTCGGAGATCTTTTCTACAGTTCTCACTTAGTGTAGCCAAGGTGCCTGTACATTATTGACGGTTTACTTGGACGCAATTCATATTTTCATGCCACTCGGTTCGCCTGTTGTTCTTTGTTTACTAACCAGATGTGTATATTTGGCAATGTAATTAATGTGGCTACACATTATTGACGGTTAACTTAGGCGCGAGTCATATTTTCATTCCACACTCGGTTTGCCTGTTGTTCTTTGTTTACTAACGAGATGTATATATTTGGCAGATAGCGTAAGACGTAATTGATATTGAAAATCCGTCCATTGTACCGAGCGGAAATAAAGCCTTCTTTCCGACGAGTTAGCAGAAGCAAAATGGAGTTTTTGTCGTAGTTTCGGGGGCAAATTAATCTCTCGCTTTCAACAACTGATTAGAACTTATTCGGCATACTGTCGCGGTCAATAAGTACGGTAATGATCCGGCCCAGCGGGATCATTTATACCCACCAATCTCAGCCTCAGATCATGACCTATCCAAGACATAACACCTCATATGTAACATCGTTTATCCTTAAGGCACAATATAGAACCGGAACACCATTGATAACATGCAATAATACAGGCGATATAGCGACATGAATATACGCGGATATGAAGAATGACCCCGGGGCCTCTGGCCTGGGGACAGACGAGCACGAGACTCATCCAGTGTCCTCGGCCGTAGGTCACCGGGTTGAGTGATTCGGAGTTGGTGGTGAGGTCCGCCGAAACGTGACGTCGTCCTGGATAGATGTAGTCGGAGTGCCATTGAGCCAGAGAGCCTCGAGTACGGTCGTGCGCGGCTTTTATACGGTTCCCAGCCTTATCTCCGTCGCCGTCTGAAAACATGAGATGAAGCTGAGAATTTGACGCGAAGGCGAAGTCAACTGTAAACATCAACTGCACCGTAAACCTTGGGGCTAGTAAATGTATTTTGCTAGCTCGCGCTTTACCCATCCTTTACAACGCCCCCTTTTACAAAGAGTCCGACCTCGGACTCGTGGGGTTAATGTGTGGGGGATTCGCGGTCCCGAAAGAATTCCAGGGTGGCGAGTACGCAGCGGGAACGGCACCAACGGATAATAGAACCCCTTAGGGATGAATTCTCCATTGACGGCACTGAGCCGAGGATGAACATGCCGTCACGGGCCCTGGACAGTGCGACATTGAGGCGTTCGGGGTCATCGAAAAAGGTGAGGTTAGTACCTAGCACCTTGGTGCGCGTGGTGCATAGTATGACGATGGACTTTTCTGAACCCTGTGCGCTATCAACAGTCTTGATGGTGACATGCGTGTTGGCTAGGATAGATTCGCACAGGTAGAGCTGGTCGCGATAGAGGCAAATAATCATGATGTCACCGGGTGGTATGCCGAGGAGACGAACTAACACGGCGGCGGCTCGCGCCTCGATCGTGTTATTCTGAGAGCCGGTGATGGATTTTACGGCTTTGCCTAGCACATCGACGAATGCGATTGGAATCTCTTTGTTAGGCATAGGCAGCGAACGAAGTAGCGCTTGGCGTTCGTCAACGGGTGTTCCGCATACGAGCTCGTTGTTATAGAAAATATAAAAATTCAGCTCCATTATCCTGGCATGCGGGCGATATACGGTGCTGATTTTGCAGGTCGGCACGTTCCCTACGCGTTTCGCGACCTCGAGAACCGATTGAGAGCAGAGAGCGGCTGCGCGGGGAGCCTTTTGAGTGCCTACGAACGGAGGCAGCTGTTTAGTGTCGCCGATGAGTGTATAGGTTGCGTCAGGAAATCGCGAAAGGAGCCCGATAAGTGTGGCTTCTGGGATCATGGATGCTTCATCGAGGAGTACGGTGTCCCATTTCCTAGATGGGCGGCGCCATAACCCTTTCTTGGTGGTAAGGTTAATGGCTGAGGCGATAGTACATATAAAGATGTTGGGTAGGTAGATTTTAAGGAACTTGGAGGTGAGGGCTTTAACGCGCTCGGAGTTGGCCTCTTCGAGGAACAGGAGGGTTTTATGTTCCAAAGCCATAAGGTTCTGTTCTACGCCCGTGAAGAGAAACTCGCGGAGGCGACGTCGCTTATCAGCAAAGGCGCGAAACATCGCGGATGTGGACGGACCCATGAAATCGCTATGCGTTACGGGTAGCCGTTCCATAATTGCAGCAATGTCGTAGGGGCCGGTACGAAGGGTATCGCGTGCTAGCATTTCGTTTACATACCGGACAGGATGCATGTCAGGTGTATCCATCTGCGCTAATTTTGAGCAGATTACGTTCAATGCGGAGTGCGTTAACCTGATGACTATTTAAGACGACGCGTTCGCCTCCGACAGCGGCTGTGATGGTCTTCCGCGTTTCAGCGGGTTCGCCAGAAAAGGTAGCGTCTCCCGACAAAATTGCACGGGCCGCCGACCAAGCCTTACTCTGGGGAGTAAATGGGCGTGAGACTGACGTGCCCTCCAGCAGTGTCAGTATGGGATTGG